TTCCTCCTCATACCTCCAAGCAGGGAGAGAGGCCCTTTAAAGAAATGGGGGTTACCACTGTCTGGAGGGCAGACGGCTCTTCCTAGACCTCGAGCAAGCTCCACAGAAGCCCTCAGCATGGAGCAGGCCCTCCCCGACATGGAAAGTCTTAAAGGTCTGCTCCTGCTTGCTTCAAATTCTTCATCACAATCTGATGTTCCCCCTGGGCTTTAATTTGGTGCTGTTCATTTGCTGCAACCCTACATTCTGGTATGTCCCGTGGTACGTCCCCCCCATCTGCAGCTTCTCAGGTACCCCCATCCACAGCAGCCTTGGATAATGACAATGACAAAAACCAGCGCTTCGGCTACATTTTTCATGATGCTTTATGATGTGTTAACAAAACATGGCACCACTTCCATAGGAAGTAATTATTACTTGTTATTGTTTGACCGTCTGTACATAATAAAAATACCTTAAAAACAATACCACAACCGCTCTCTGAATGATGGCTTTTCGCCCTGTGAGGTTTTCCACTTGTCCAGCTTTGCAGTGGTGCCTATTTATTTTTAGGAATGCTTATTCATAAAAGACAAGCTTTTTTTTGAGGGGTGCAGGGACTTTATTCATAAATACAGAAGCACCTTAATAAAAGAAAGATGTGATGAAGTCTTCAAAGCAGGCAAGAAAACTGATGAACAAAGACATTCCCATAACAACTGAGCTTTATCTGATCAAATTCCAATAAAGCCTGCATTTGGCATAAATCTTTAAAAACATAGCAAGGGCCACTGGAGGATGCTAAATCTTGTTTATTTAATATTATTCCTCCTCCTTCTCCCAAAAGTACTTTATCCTCTTAATATTTTCTGAAGTCTCAGTGCATGTTGAGGAGCGCATCGAGTGAATGTGGCGCAGTGGAAGGACAGGAGGAGAAGCACGGGAAAGCGCTCACTGTGTCTGAGGTTGCGCTGCTTCCTTCCTTCCTTTCTTCCCTCCGGCTTCCCACTCTCCAACGTGCTGATGATGATCAGCATCACCACCAGCAGATTAACCCTCACTTTCGGGCAGAAGAAACAACAGAAAAGATAGTGCCTTTAAAGAATTTAATTCTCTGTGGCTTCACTTAACCAGAGCCAAGACGAGACAGAAGCTTTTATACCAGCCTTATAAAAGAAACTTAATTCCTGCTTCTGTGAGTTTTATTATTTTCCATCCTGAGACTACTTAAAATGTGCACTGCGCTTCCCATCTGCGCAGAACACACAGGTGTGGCTGACTAATCCTTAAATACCAAGAGAAGTATCCTGGGTGAAAACAGACATTAAAGAAATTGTTTCTGCTCTTGGGGATTACTACTCGCCCACTGACTTTGCGGGTGCATCCAGGGCACCTCCATGAAAATTAATCTCTGGGACCTACTGCCTGGAGAAACCTGGGGGGCAGCAGACCTGCAAAAAGATCCACAACCACTCGCTCCCAGCATAAATATGACAGGGTGCTCTCTGCCCCCCCCCTGCCTCTGAGGTGGGAACAGGGTCCTGCTGCTGCTGTGCCGGGGGCCGGGAGTGAGGGGCCACGGCCATGGCTCACCATGCCAAGCAGCCCCAGACTGCCTTCCCGGAGTCAGTGCAAACAAAGGCTGCACAAAAACACAAAGTCCTTTTCTGATGTGGTTTGGACAAGGGAGCCAAGTATAGCCCGAGGAAAGCTTAGCTGAAAAGGTGCAGTCTTGCATTTCTTTTTTCATTTTAAGGGATAGATCTGTAAGGTCAGAGGACCACACAAAGAAAGAATCAGGAGGAGAAACAAAATATTTATATTCTGCTTGCTTATTTTTTCCATTTGCCCTGCACATCTGCCTCTAGCTGTTCCTAAAATAGTCCTTCAGAGTAGTATTGTCCCTTCTGCACCAGTGGTATATATACTACTACTAAACTGCCACTGGACTAAATCAGAGAGCTCTGGGAAAGCAGTTAGCAGACCTGCATGTGTTCAGGGACAGCCACTTTCCCAGTGAAACACAAGAGAGCTCTGACTCTCTCCAGAAGACTTCTACCCCTCTCTTCCTGCTTGACTGAGAAAGATGAGGGGACAGGGGAACAACCATTCCCTGAAACTGCAGGTATGAGAGGAATTTCAACAACCCTCATCAGGAAGATCGCTTCAACAAAGCAACCGAAACTTGGGCGTGGGGGTGGGAAACCCCAACAAAACCCCCTAATAATTAAATGTTGCTTATGCAAGATGAAAAAACCACATTGTTCCTTCTGGGCACAACAGCCCTGGCAAGCCCAGCATGTATCTCACAAGACAGGAAACAGTGCTTGTGCGCAGAGGAGGAGCGCTGGCTGCACATGCCAACTCCACCAGCAATCTCCTCTGCGAGGCTCACTCTCCATGCATGGCTTTTCACGCTGGAAGCTAAGATACCCGAGTAAGTCTTCAGCCCTTATAGAACATATTTGCCTCTCCCACTTCCACTAAAATTATTATCTTCCTCATTCTCCCCTTTTACCTCCCACATTTTTACCTTCCTCCACTGCTAGGCACCCCTATCTGCGCTATCTATCATTATGCAGTCCTGAAGCTCCTCCAGCATCACTGTGGCACCAATGCCTCCTACTCATCCTTCCGCATCTTCAGCTCCCTAGATTATCTTCCTAATCTCTAAAATTCATGTACTGCTTTAGGATGCTTTCTATAGCACTCTCTTACAATATATCACAGAATCATAGAATATCTGAAGTTGGAAGGGACCCATAAGGATCATGGGTCCCTCCTCTTTAATTTCTTCCTGCTTTTGCTTTTCCTGTTAAACAAACACTCCACGCTAACATCACACATTGTGATAGAGATTAGATGCAGCAGTATTTAGGGACTCTGATGCTCCTGCAGTAGAGCGGCTGGCAAGGAACCCATGCAGTTCAGACAGGCCACCACAGAGCTAAGAGAATACCTCCATACAAGGGTTTGGGGAGAGCTGCATACAAGATTGCACGAAATAAATATTACCAAGGGGAGGGGGGGAAGCAACCAGAAGGTGGCAGCTACAGGAGCTTGAAGAAGTAAAGCAGAGAGAGGAGCAAACAGGCAGCTTTTATCATTTTAATAGGTGCTCTGCAAGGGAAATGCTCCAGAGACAGCTTGCCTCTCTACAGGCAAAGGAGCAAAGTAACATGCCTAAAATATGCCTGGCACAAACACACACTCAGAGCTTGCTGCCTTTGGCTTGCCTGTTACTTGGTGGAGAAAAGACCTAATCCTACAATAACCTGCACTCATTACTCACCTAACACTTTACTCAGTATGCCCCACCCAGCCTAAAAAATAAACTGCCTTACTCACCAGCTATATATTTATCTAAAGGACACAAATACCTGCCCTGGATGCAGGTGTCAGTCATTTCCATGGGCACAGGCTTGCTGGAGTCAGGCTCTCTCAAATAAGCTCCAGCTGTTTCTCATCACAAGGCGAAATCCCAGCCAAGCAAAGGCCCTTTCTTCCCTACCTCCGCTGAACCCTTTGTGTCCCATGTTCCTAAAACACGGAAAGGCAATGAACCGAGCTCAGGCAACTGCAGCTGTACTCCTTTCAGGTGGCTGACTAACAGCTCTCAGAAGTAGAACAACAGAAAGCCCAGAGATGCCATCAACTCCTTTTAGGATGTCTGAACAGTGAGGTCAAGCCAGAATATACAATCGTTTCAACAGGCTGGTGTGGCAGCGTCACAGGGACTCACAGTGTAATTCTCTGTCACGGCTGTTATATATAGACTACGCTAGCGACTCAAAGATTCCTAGCTTTCTCTTTTAACAAGTGACACATTATTTACTCAACTTTTCTGCCAGCCTGTCCTTGGGAAGGAAGGCAGCCAGATTGCAGTCATGAAGCCAAGTGCCCAGTGACCACCTGTGGACCTGAACCACGTTCAATTGAGAATCACACTTCTCCTATGGTTACACAACATCTGAACAGTGCAGCATGCCTTTGACTATCAGCCTCTAAGGTTGGTTTATATGGTCACTTCAGCAAGCATGTGAACCCAAATTCCCCCCTCTCTGCTCCAAGTTTGGCTTGCACTTAACCAGACTAGGCAAGAAAAGGTGAACGTTGAAAGTGAGGGAGAAGACTAACTCACATTTGCACCCAGTGGATCTGAACTGGACTACACAGTGCTGCAAACCCAGGGCAGCGCTCGGGCATAGCCAATGAGGGCAGCAAGAACAGAGCCAAAGAGGGGCTCAATACACTTTTACAAGGTGGTATCCTATCTGGCAGGGCTTTCAGCAGAACAAGTCTTGGGGTGCTGGAACAACCATGAGTTTTACTCAGTATAAAACTGCTGGGAGCTGAGACCCTTTTGGTTGCTGTGTTTCTTGACAAAGTGAACTATGCTTTAGATGAAATATGCTCTAGACAATGTTTGCACAAATGCACAGACTCTATGAAAGTGAATTTAATAGCTTTAAAGTCTTTAATGATTAAATTACATCAGTCTTACCAATACTTAGGAGTGAGAGAGTCATGGGATCATTTTCTTCCTCACTCAATCCCTGAATTGTCCACTCAATTGCCTGAACCCCTAGGCAACTATACAGAAGCCAAGTCTGAAACTGCTAAACTCTGAAACCCAATTATTAACAATGACATTTCTGCGAGGAACATTTAACAGGCTTCTCCTGAACACAGGCCAGAGAGAGGAATTTGATGTCTATGTAAACTACCATACAGGCCAGGTGTTGGGAGACAGAGATCCTTGGGATGAGTTGTTTGATGTCTTGTTCTGTCACTTACCACTATATGCTGAAATTTTGGCGTCCTGAGGCACAATTGCTAGAAAAAGTTTGCACATTTCAGCTTCATATGATTTTGAATAAAGTACTTTCTAGGAAAGACACAGGAAACAAGAGGCCAGTTTGGAAAGACGGGATTCAACCACTTCTCCCCCTGATAGATGGGTACAAAGTGGGCTTGCTGCAGAAAGATGGGGAACTGACGCATGCAAGGCTCCACCGTACCTGGTACAGCTCTATCCGCTGCTCCGAGACCCGTGCCTTCGAGTTCTGCAGGCGGAAGACCCTGAACTCGGCCTTCACCAAGTTGGAGGCATTCTTCTCCATCGCTGAGACGTCAAATCTGACGATTCGGAAGTAAAGGCTGTAATAGCTCGGTGGGATGGCATCTGCAAGAAGGCAGTGTAATTTTATTTTTTTTTTAATGATAGAATACTTTGTTCCTTCAAACAGTGTAATACAGGGCAGCTTCAGTAAGGGAAATATCTGTAGAATGATTCAGTTTCCAATGGCCAATTTAATATTATTAACAATTTCATACAAAAAAAACCCAAACCCAAACCCACATGTATTTGATTATAGGAATACCATATTGATAGAGATTAACAACTATTTCCAACTCTATTTCAGGTCATGCATTTGAAACTCCCCTCTTTCAACATACTGGTGGAAAATCCCAGATGCTTATAAATTGGGAAAAAATCACAGCAGTTGGTATCTGGCAAATGCCTTCAGACTCAAACAGAGTTCACAGGGATCTGCTAAGATGACAAGTAACAGCAACTCATCTGACCTGTATGTTCCCTGAAGCCCATTTCCTCCCAGAATACAGAGCACAAATTAGCCAGCTTCAGATTTTGTTTCATATTTAGTTATTGAAGGATTTTAACGGAAAAAAATATTAATTCTGATTATAGCGACAAGGGCAGGAAGAGAAGCGGAAGAAGAAAGGGAGGGAAAAGGCAAGCAGATAGTAGACATTATAAACAGAATTACATTGATTTTGACCACCTGGAAGCAGTAAAAGCCATAAATGTAACCACCTCTTACTATGTATTGGGGGGAAAGCAGAAAAAACAGTCAGAAAAATGGACTCGAGTCTTCAATAACAGTGTTAAACGTGTCAGTTTAGGTTTCAAACCAGTCTCTTCTTCCTTCCCGGCTGTAAACCCTGGTGGGGGCTAAGCAGCAAAGCACTTCTGCACAGCCCAGGCTACCCTAAAGGGTTCAGCGACCACCCGAGGCCTCCCCACCCCGTCCCCGCCAGCAGCAGGAGCAGCCCGCCCGCGCCGCCCTCCTCGCCCTGCGGCCTGGCAAGGATCTCCGCAGCCTGTGGAGCGAAGCTCGGAGACCAGTCGAAACAACTCAAAAGGCCCTGATAAAAATCTCCGTTTGAACAGAGGGAAAGGCCTCCTCTTCTCTTACAGTGTGAAATCTGAAGTGGATAAAGGAAAAAAAAAAAAGAAAGAGGAAAAATTGCATTGGGGAGGTGGGGATTTTCGGCTGAGGAAGCAAAGCCCACAGGCCTCCCTGGGGCCTTGCCAGCGGGAAGACTTCAGATAATAATTACAAAACACAAAGTTTCCCCACGAGTCACGTAGCTGAGGATTTGTCACGCGGTGGCAGGAGATGACAGCCTAATCCCAGCGAGGCCTCCTGCTCCGCTGCCTCCCTTGACTACCCAGGCACCTGTCAATCAAATAAAGTACCTCCTTCTGGAAGATACCTAATTCTTAGTAGATATAATATACACAAATTATCATTTCTATGTAAAGAGATGGGAGAAGCCAAGTCCAGTACATTTACCTTTATTTCTAACTACTAATGACTAAAGGCAGTTAGAATAAATCTTTAATAATATTTATCCATATCAATAAGACATATTCATACCTTAAAGACCTTCTTCCAAATATTTAGTGTTTCTGGACTGGCTGCTACTACCAGAACTTCTGAGCAATGCAGCAGCTCCCAGCCACACGAGGCAACACCGCCTGCAGTTACACATTTCATCACCGATTTGTTGTAGCTCTTTAAATTCAAACTGATTATGGAATAAATACCAAGTACAAGTCAGTCACACGAGGAATAAAGCAAATTTATTCTGTCTTCACAAAATGCACAAACATGCTTCCTCTACAAAATTGAGCCAAAATCTCTTCTATAAATGATTAGAGGTAAAAACTCCCCAAACCAATCCTAACCATGAGAAAATCTTTGATGATGAAGAAATAATCTCAGCCTCAACTAGACTCATTATCAGTGAGAGATGACAAGTTCTCAAAATACTTAAAAAAATCCTCTGAAAGAGTAGTTCCCAAAGGAGACTCTCAGTATGGTCAAATGGGTAAGAGGTATAAAACACGAACAGGAAACCCCAGGCTTCCTTATGATCCTATTTAATTAAATAAACAAAGAAAAGTTTCTCAAATGTTCAGATCTGCAGTGCTCAAAAATAAATCCCAAAGCATCATGATCAGTATTCTTTCCTACCAGGAAATACAGAAAACTGCTACAATCTTATAGTGAGAACTCAAAGAAAAATGGATGCAAATTATCCCCGCACCTCTCTCCCATGAGCAACACATTAACGCTGGTTTCTCTCAAAATACCAAATGAAGGTCTTCTGAAAAAAGCTTAACTTTATACAATGATGATCTTAATTTTGATACACTTTGCAAATTCTTATAACAGCTACTCAGTTCACAGATTACAGCCTCATTTAAGAGAGAAATAATCTCTTCAATTTATTTTTCTGCTACAGGAAACTCCAAGACTACTACTTGTTCTTCAGCCAAACCTAATCCTACTAGGAATATAATTTGGCATAATAATATGTATATATAAGATTGATGTTTCCAGGATGAGTTGTAAGTTGTCCTTCCCTGTCATTTATTTGAGGCATCAACCTACCATTTCATTCCCTGTGGACAAGCCAAACTAGCAGCCAGCCACTTGCTCTGGCACAGACAAACCCTGTCCATCTTGACTTTATTTCAGATTGAAAAGTCCTATTTAACTGTGATTTGGATTTATATTTAGCCTCTAACTTATTTCTAGAACTTTCTTGTGCTATATTTGCAGTCTTTCTATCCAGTTTCTGTATTTTAGATACTGTATATTACAAATCTGTGAATATGTATCTGAACGGATTTTCCTGAACCACCTCTGCATTTACATTTTTTCTCTTTCATCTATAAAGAAGACAGACAGAGAAGGAATACTCTTTCAGTGTGCATGGTTTGTGTTTGCATATGTGCAATCGTATACCCAGTGAAGAAGTATTTACCTTCCACTGGAAGGCAGGCTTGGGACACCCACCATGAATAAGAATGAAATCTTGTTTTACAGAAGTTTCATCTCTCTTATAAGATAGTTTTATATCTTGCACAAACCCACATAAGGAATTTGATTCCTTTATTCTATCATTCACGACAGCATCCATGGGAATTCAATTCAGGAAAAGGAGTTTTTCAGAGACAGCTGAAAAAAACAGGGTTTTTTACTAGCTGGAACCCTTCCTCTGAAAAAGAATGGCTAACTGCAGAATTGGGGTTTTCATGAAAATTAATCAACATTAAGACTGAGAATTGAGACTTGCAACTCTCTTTAAAGGAATGGAAAGAACCCTATGGAGTCTACAAGGTTTTGGATTAGCCTTTAAGCAATCTCAGATGCTGCACTTTCTCTTTGTGACTCCACCTTAACCTGACAGTTGTATCAATTCAGACTCAGTTGGATACCTCTGGACTACCCTCTGGTTTTGGCCCAATGACTCCAGTAAACGCCAGGTTGACTCTGACCAGGTTAGTCTGCAAACACAGTTACCCTGCTGCAGACTAGACTCCTTAAGTATTCTTTGAACCATTATCATTAATGAGTGGAATTAAATCAATATGTTTCCTGTAGCTAGGAAAACACAGATTTCTTTTGTTTTGGAGAGAGGGAATAGTAAATGCAATGAAAGATTCCATTTCTATAATCTTCAAATTATCCATTAATTCAACCTTAAAAAACCTGAAGACTTCCAGCTGTAATAATCATGATCACAGTCACCACAGTGCAGTTGAGACAAGAGTTATAAAACGCAGTTGGAGAAAGGGAAGGTAGCATCCCTCCTCCTCCCTTTAGTCCGCTGAACACTGAGCATCACAGCTTTTTTATTCTTTTGTTGTTTTTTCTTTTTTTTTTTCTTAAACGCACTGAAACTTCATCAGCTGCTTTACACAGGACAGTCCAAACTGCCAGGTTAAAAAGTATTCTGGTATGTGAGTGTTTAAGTGTGTAAGGACACTGTGGTTCTGTGCTTCTTACCAACTTTGTTCAATGTCCAGCATCCTCTAAGCTCCTGCGCCAGCAACGAGGACAGAAAGCAGCCCTGCTCTGACAGAGCAGAAAAGGACCAATGGGAGGGGTGCAGGAGACCTATTCCAAGATATCCCAAAATACTCAACAGTCTACAGTACTGCTCCTGGTTGGAGCATCGTCAACAGGAGAGACTGAACACATCCTGTGATGACCATCCAAACCAGCACATAGACCCTCAGGCATCCCTCCCGGGAGGAGAGCGAGATGGAGTCGAGCTCCCTTAAACTGAAAGTGGGAATGGAAGGAGTTTGTTTCATGCTGGAGATATTCCCCAAGTCAGGAATCTCCTGCATAAAAGCACGACACTTTTGCCTTCCACAGTTGTGTTTGATGAACAAAGCCCCGCATTTCTACAGCTTTCCTCCCAAGTACTGCATGTACTGACATTTCAGGAGAAACAAGACACTCCGTTTGACACAGCTCTTCTGAGAGTTGGGCTTTCGTTCTGGCGAGGAAAAAGACCTAAATTCAATTGTATCCAAACGAGGCTTTTTTTCCCCTCCGAATTTTCATTTCTGCTATTGAAACAAAAAAATCAATTATATGCACAGCCCAAGTAAGGAAATGTAAACAACTCTTCTCTTCTTGTTGGAAGAGGCCAGACAGGCCGACTTCACACATACACCCACACTGGAGAGGCTGAGAGCTTCAATCCAATCCTTCCATCAAGGGCTTGTAATAAATGCTCCAAAGATTTATTTTTATTCCCTTTTGTGTTTATTAAACTTTGGAGGGTTTCTTTTCCTTTTTCTTTTCTTTCTGGTGCTTTGCCCATTCTTTATTACAGCAGCTACAAAACATGGCGTGCCCTTTTCTTCTCGCCCTCTTTTTTTTTTTCCTCTCCTCGTCTTTCTAACTGCAGTACATGAATGACCATGTAGTAGGCTTTGAAGCAGCACATGCAAATATTTATAAGAGTAGCTTGATTGTTATTAAATGCAGTTGTTATGCTTTCCACGCTCTGGCAAGCTTCCCTAACCCCTCTAACTATTAGGACCATTTAGGCTGTTTAGATTTTAGCTCACTGATAGCAAATCCTACATTTTTTTTCTAACAAGCAGCAGCCACCCTGCATAATACGACACCGTTTCTCCCCCTGTGTG